GGGGGGAGTGGGGGAACCAGCCTAAGCAGACCCACTCCCCAACCACAAGACACCACCACAGGGAGGGGGAAGCAACCCACAACCACACCACACCACAGGGAGGGGGAGGAGGAACCATTGGGGGGGGAGGGGGGGGGGCCGGCCGAACCGGGATCATATAAACCCTATAAACCCTAGGAGGTAACCCTAAACCCTAAGCCCTTCTTTGCGCCCTACAAACACCCTAATCCCTAAACCCTAAACCCTTCTCTGCGCCCTGCAGACGCCTCGACAAGCTTTTCGAATCTGGTCTCGACGATGTCCTTCGCTCCAAGGGTTTGCTCTGGGTGGCGGGTATCCATGCGTCCTCACTGATTTACAACCAGGCAGGGGGAAAAACACACTAAGGTTTAGGGTTTAGGGCTGGCTTTATCCTTGCATATGCATAGTCCAGGTGTAAAAATGGCGGGCTTTGTCAGGCCTTTTTCGCAGGGCCTTCATAGGACTTTGGGAAGGGCTCAATAGAAAGCTTATGTTGGGCTTCTTCGGGCTTTGAGAAGGGGCATGATGGCCCAAGATCCCAGGGCCAACCCCGAAGATGGACAACACCAGAACTCAGCGTTGTTTTGCAGTCCATCCGGCTTCGGTTGTGGTTGGCAAGTCTTTCAAAACCAAGTCGAGTGCTCCCCTAAACCCTAAACCCTAAACCCCAAAACCAAGTCGAGTGCTCCGACTTGCATGGAACTTCGCGGCTACACCAATCCCATACTTAACGTCTGTGAAATGGTAGTTTCCGAAAATAAGGGGTACCTCGTTTTGGGGTCCTTATAATAAGGATCCTACTATTTAGAGTACTATATTAGGGTCCCTTATTTTCGGAAACCCCCAAATCGTCATGGTGTCCGCTGCATGTAGGCGTTAGAGCAAGCGGGGAAGCGTCTTCAGGTGAACCCCTTACTTATACTACTAAAGCTTCCGCGCCCTTCGGACTTGAATCAGGCAGGCGCAGCCGTCAGTATCGAGTCGGGTGTAGAATGGCTCCACGGCACCGTTGATCTCGCAAACTGGCCTCCAGACGCTTAAATCTCCAAGACAGAATGTGCTTTCCAATTTTTCGGTTGCCTACAACCTTCAAAATCACCCGAAACCCTAAGCCCGCAAAACTCCTTAACCCTCCTGGGTATTGGACAAAAACCCTCTCAGCCCCGTGAAAGAAAAGCACCTCAAGTCCTAAACTCTCACCTGAACGTACCCCTAACCCCCAAACCCCAAACCCTATAAGCCTTTGACCTAACCCTGCATTCGAATCCTAAGGACACTCCCGAGAAGTTCAAGACCTCCTTGTATGGAGACCGGAGACAGGAGTTGGTCTTCATCGGGAAGGAGCCAGGGTTTAGGGGTTTTTGGCGGTTAGGGTTTTGGGGGTTTAGGGTTTTGGGGTCTTGGGTTTTTGGGGGTTTGAGGGTTTGGAGGTTTTGGGGTCTAGGGTTTCGGGGGGTTTGGGGTTTGGGGTGTCTAGGGTTTAGGATTTAGGGTCAAGGTGATCAGAGCCTGGGTTCCAAAAAAAGGGTTTAGGGTTTTGGGGGTGGTAATGTTGCCTAGTAGGCGACCACTGATACAACCCTAAACCCTAAACCCTGAACCCTAAACCCTGAACCCTAAACCCAAGACCCTACAGGGGATAGTGTTGCTAATGACCTTCTTTGCTTGCGAAGGATCTGAAGGACTTTAGGAGGGACCCCTAATAGGGACCCTAAATAACTGAAATAACCATTGTATAGTCCTTATATACCCCTTATATAGCCAGGTAGTCACCATATTAACCCCTGAAACCTACAAGGGTCCCTATTAAGGGTCCCTCCTAAAGCCCTTAGGCCCTAAACCCCTAAACCTTGAACGCCTAAACTCTTGAACCCTAAACTCCTAAACCCCTAAACCCTAAACCTTGAGCCCCTAAGCCCTAAACCCTAAACCCTAAACGGAGGATCTGAAGGAGACGGAGCTGAGGGCGAAGCTCGAGCGAGCCTTGGTCACCGAGGAGGAGTTCCAGCTGGGCCCGACGGAGTGGGTAGCTGGGTTCTTTTAGGGTTTAGGGTTTAGGGTTTGGGGTTTAGGGTTTGGGTTTAGGGTTTAGGGTTTAGGGTTTCGGGTTTGGGAGGCCATACTTTGTAAATTTTATACACTACCGGTTTATGGGACCTGTTCCTTCTCTAGACCCTAAGCCGTAACTAAGCACCATTATGAAATAAGCGCTTAGGCTCTTTGTACTTGGTAGCTTCAAAGCCAAGGCGAAGTGGCCGAATCCATTTCGACCCCGCCAGAGACCTAGGCGGGCTCCTCTAAAGGGGCGACGGCTCGCGAAGATGGTGAAGAAAGCCCAGCTAAAGTCTAAAGAGCCGAAGGCAAATGAGTCCAAGGCAAGTTAGCTGAGCAACTGCAGATGGGCAAGGGTGACCCTGTCCTATCTTCCACACAACTTGTACAAACTTTCCCATGTTTCCTATTTTGCTTCTGCCGGCGTCCTGACGCTGGCTGTTCTCGACAGCGAAAGACAGTGATTTCGAGATTGTCGATGAGGGGTGGAGTTCACCAGACCACTCTTGTGGTCTGTTGCGTTCGTAGCGCAGACACTTGTGCCGCCAAAACAGTCTTCGTGAGCCAGCTGTTGCGAGCCCCCCTAAACCCTAAACCCTAAACCCAAAGCCCCTACTGTAAACTGTATAAACCCTTACCCCGATTTGCCCCCAGGTTTAGGGTTTGGGGCTTAGGAAGGGATATCCCCACTTTGAGACAAAGGGATTTGATCATGCGGGTGTCACTCAGAATTTCCGCAGGCTTCTGGTTACAAAGTGTTGGCGCCAAGGATGCCTGGGAACTGCAGGCCTTTATCACCGGATTCGAGCTCTTTCACCCCACAATTTGATGACCCGCTATAAGCCCTAAATACAGTACCCTTAACCCCACGCCCCTTCCTGGGGCAGAGCTCAAAAGAACATGAAAACAACAACAGATCGCGGTTGCCCGAGGTCAAGTACTACCCGTCCGATGCCAGCGCTGGTTTCGGGGATGGGGGACGAGCAAGCAAACTTCTCTGTGAAGAGCTCAAGGAAGGTGACTCGGCTGGGCTACAGGTTGCCTTTAGGGTTCAGGGTTTCAAGGTCAGGGTTTAGGGTTTCGGCGTTTTAGGTTTTAGGGCGCTAGGGTTTCGGTTTACAGTAAGTGTTGTCATGTGCACTGCAGCCCCTCCTCAACAAAGGGTTTATGTCTTGGGGATTGTGATAGATGTGACAGGTTTGGATTTTGGCGCTAGAGTGTGTGACTTATGGTTCATATGTTCGGATTCAGGGTTCAATCGCTTCTTGCCTGAATTTTAGGGTTTGGGGCCAGGGTGAGTGGAGCTTTAGGGTTTGCGTGTGAATCCCATAGGCCCCATAGTAGTTCCTTTTTGGGATTACCTAATAGGATTCTAAATATGAACCCCAGAAAGGAACTACTATGCGGCCTATGGGTAGGGCTGGGATTCGGTCTTATGATGGGGGAGCTGGGAGCTCAGATGTCCAGTTTTTGGTGTTTAGCGTTTTGTGGTTTCGGATGCGGAATTCAAGGCTTACGATGGTGGCAGTTAGGAATTACCTGAACCCCCTGCAACCTACATTCTCAGGATTCCTTGTCCTAATATAACTCAATATCCCTTAATTAGGGAATATACCTTAAATCATGTTAGAGATCCTACCAGTACTATACTTGAAGGTATATTCCTTAATTAAGGTCCTGAAGAAGCGTGTCCACTATAACTGAAGGTGTATTCCTTAATTGAGAATTAAGGTCCGACAGCAGCGTGCAGTTATTTCAGGTCTCGGTGGGGCTCAGGGCGCAGGTCCTTTGGGTTCAATCTGGCCATCTTGGGTTGAGCCATGCAGCCCACACGTCTGAAGCCTATGGCTTTAGGGTTTAGGTTTTAGGGTTTAGGGTTTAGGTTTAGGGTTTAGAGTTTAGGGTTTAGGGTTTAGGTTTAGCCTATCTCATGATAGCCGCAACCCGAAACCAACTCTGAACGCCCCATGAGAGTAGAAGCTAGAGACAGCAAACAAAAAAGCTAAAGCCTCCAACCCCTAACCGTCAACGGAAGTCCTTTAGCCCTTACAGCATCAAGCTCCCCAAAGCACAGGCACACAAAGCAACAACCAAGAACCGAAAGACCATACACGAACAAACACACCCTAAACCCTAAACCGGTGCCTGCCTTGCGCGAGTGTGCGAGTCGAAACCCTAAACCGTAAACGCACACCCTTAACCGTACGAAGCCAAAGGCGACGAAGTTTGGCTTTCGGGCCCCCATGGCGGCAAAGTCTATCGTGGCAACGGCAATTTCCTGGTGGGACCCTGGGTTTCTTTGGTTCAGCTTGTTTTTTTTGTTGGGGGTACCGGTATATAACTGTATGGGCTCATTAGGTGTATTCGTTGCTTGATGTAGGTATTCTGCTTTTTCAACGATTGAGAAAGAGTTTTAGAGTTTTCAGGATAGGTTTCTGGGCCAATGGGGGTCTTTCTCTGGCTGCTTTAGAGCTTAATTATAGTTTAACTGGATCCTTGTTGGCTACAATTATTACATTTTTGAATATAAGTTAACAACGATCATTGGTAATATAGCCCCAACAGGGAACCAGTTAAGGTAGCCCTAACAAAGAACCACCAGTGGAGGCTTCAGGGCTTGTAGGGCTGTTCGGCATTCAGGATTGAGGACTCCCGTTCCAGGTGTAGGTGATACGGTAGGTCCAAGAAACCCTAAACCCTAAACCCTCAACCGTTCTAAGGTTTAGGACTTTAGGATCTAGGTTTCGGAGTATGTTGAGCAAGGCTGTGGATTTCGTGCTTACGTAATATAGGCGCCTTAATAATTACCTATATGATTTTTGGGGCTCCTTATTATAATTATCGTATAATATACCCCAAAACCCTATTCTAATTATTTGGGCCCCTACATGATGCCTCTTCAGAGCGCATGTTCGAGGTTTGGAGGTTTCTGAGTCTGCAGTTTTGCACTTACGGCCCCTATGGTTTGTAAGACCTTTGCTTGGCTGTTGAAGTGAAGTTAATCACCCAGAGGGTCCATGTACCCAAATAGTATAGACTTTGCCCTTAAAGTTTCCCCTATTTGGGTACTTTTGGGCCCAAAGTAACATACTATTTGGGTACATGGACCCTTAGGGTAAGAGGTCGACGCCAAAACGGAAGCGAACAAACAGTTCCTCTCGCATGGGAAGTTAAAATAAGCTCCATGACACCAAGAAACCCTCATTAAAGCGATAGACGGTGGAGGAGAGAATTACAGAAGAAACCTTGGGGGGGGCGTCTGGGCTGTAGCTTGTCTTAGGGCTTAGGGGAAATGAGTTATTCGGAGGCCTAGGGTTCGATAAATTGCCGGCGTTCGGGGTGCCCTAAACCTTATAAACCCCAAAAACCCTAAACGATCAATCCTAAACCCTAAACCCTATAAGCCCTAAACCCGAAGCATGTAGGGTTTATGGGGCTTAAAGAGTTTAGGGTTTATGGGGCTGTCAGGGTGTGGTCACGTTTGTGTCGTAATTGGGGGCTTCTAGAAATTCGGTGGTCCCCCGTAGATGGGTGGGGGATTTAGGGTTTTGGGTTTTGGGTGATTTAGGGTTTTGGGTTTTGGTGGAATTTAGGGTTTTGGGGGATTTAGGGTCTTGGGTTTTGGGGGGATTTAGGGTTTTTGGGCTGCGGGGGATTTAGGGTTGTGGGTTGCGGGGGATTTAGGGTTTTGGGTGCTGGGATCCTTATAGTCAGGTTCAGCTTGATCAAGCAGTCTAGTGTACAATTTTCTCAAACTCCTGCTTCACGGATTCACTCGGTGGGTCATTCGGCCCTACGGGCGATACTTGTTGTACTGTTAGGGTTTACCCAGAGGCCCATAGTAGTTCCTTTTTGTGGCTTATATTTAGGATCCTATTTGGTAATCCCCAAAAGGAACTACTATGGGGCCTATGGGTAGGTAAACAAAAGCCCTTAACCCTCGCTTTTTCTTGCCTGGACACAGGTGGATGGCCGCGTTATCAAGGCAGAGACCATCTGTGCACCCAGCCCTGGCTCTAGAGCTTTCGGGCTTGGGGTTTACCCTAAACCCTAAACCCAACACCGGCTCTGTTTCGGGTTTAGGGTTGTAGAGCTTTCGGGCTAGGACATGCCCTAGGGCCGTCTAGGGGGTCTGATTTACTAATCGGGTACCTTAAGGTTTGCGGGTTTAGGGCTTGGTTGGCTTTTGGGGATCGTAGTTTCGTGGGTTTGGCAATTTTGTCGGTTTTGATGACTAGGCCCCTGCATCGGTGCACCTGCTATACGGATTGAGACGATTATAAGAACGCCCCCAAACCCGCGTTGTTATTACGTACTAAGGCCCCTATAACTTGTATCGCACCCAACTGAAGTCTGAGATTCACGACCTCACACTAAGTCAGGAGAGCGTTCTAGTACGGCATTGGCCGGTGGCTCTAGGACCCTAAACCCCTAACAACCACGGCAAGCAGCCCTCAACCAAAATTACGTTCAGACTAAGGCATTAGCGGGGGGCTCTGGCATCACCCCGGTACTCTCGCTTCTCCGTCAGTGTCGGGAAGAGTGCCGCGCAAGCCCCTGGTCGGAAGTCTGAAAGACCACATGCTATATTATAGAAGCCTGAATAATTACCAATACTATTTTGGGGCTTCCGTATTATATTTAGAGTATAATGGGCCCCAACACCGTATTCTAACTATATAAGGCCCGTATATTCTGCTGCAATAGTGGGACGTTGAGTCATGGTTGCGCATTGTAAGTATAGGGCTTAGGGGTCTAGGTTTGATGGTGTTCCTAGATCCTAGGAACCAAAAGCTATCCGAGAAGGATGCTAGCTGCTAGCTGCCTTTATAAGGGTTTTATAGGGGTTTACTGGGTTGCAATACAGTCGGTTGGGTTTGAGGTTTTAGGGCTAAGGCGGTTGGGGGTTTGGAGTTCTTGGTGTCGCAGGGTTCAGGGGTGAGGATGGTGGACAGAAGTCTCTAGCAGAGCAAGCAGACAGAAACCCTACACCCCAAAGCCCAAACCCTAACACCCTAAAGCCCTGAAGCCCCAAACCCGCTGAACTTTGTCGCAAAGCCTTGAGTTTAGCATTGTTTAGGGTGCGAGTTTTGTGCGAGTGGTAAGAGTCGAAACTAAGCCCAGAACCCGTCCAACGCCCCAATTTCTCCAGAGTCAGCCTTTGAGGCTGTCTGACATGCCTTCTGGTTGTCAGGTTTTTAGGATGTTATTTGACGTCGTCATGTTGTTTAAGGTTTGGTGGTTTATACATGGTGCGTCTGGACGGACTCGAACACTTCCAACCTCAAGCCCTAAACCCCTAAACCCTAAACCCCTAAACCCTAAAACCCTAAACCCTAAACCTGTAAAGCCCTAAACCCCTGAACCCCTAAAGCCCTAAACCCTAACCCTTAAGCCCTAAACCCTAAACCCCTGAAGTGTAGGACGTCGGGGCAGGCGTCCCAAAAGCTTCTGGCTTGCTCTTGCTGGGTTGTCTCAGATCTGAGGCTCGACTTCAGGAACTTGAAAACCGGAAGCGGCTTAGGGTTTACTGTAGGGTAGATAGGGTTTAGGGTTTAGGGTTTAGGGTTTAGGGTAGAATTTATGGGCCTAAATAACTACTCATAATCTGATTTTGGGGGTTCCTTGTTATCAATATAGTACAATTGGCCCCAAAACTCTATTCTAACTTTTCAGGCCCCTGCAGTACAGACCCTAAGCCCTCCAAACTCTGAACTTTTGTTTATCAGGGCGTTTAGATTGGCGTTCCCCTGTGAGCGGCTACCTATCGCCAAGGCTACACGAACCCGGCAGCGCAGCAAGATCTCGTCAAGGAGCGTCCCTAAACTAAACACTGCGCCGCTTTTTGCTTATTGTATTTTTCAAGGCATCCTTGCAAGTGCCCATGTTTGATGCAACCCTAAATGTTAATGTCCGAGTGTGAGCGCTTCTGAACCCTAAAACCCTGTACATCCTAAACCTTCATGCACATGATTCTCCCTAGCCTCTGTGGGGAAACCCCCACTCTTGGGACGGCATAGGTACTAAGCCTACCAAGATGTCCCAAGTCTTTAAGCACTGACGCAGTCCCCTAGAGTTCTCAGTGCGAGAGGAGTTCTCAGTTGTGCATTCCATGCGATCTATGGACGAGAAGCCGCTTGGAGCCGCACTCGCCCGCTCTCTGCAAGGGCCTTTAAAAATCGGATCCTTATGAATATCACTTTAGGGTTTGGGGTTTAAGGGCTCCTTTTCAGGAAGCCAAGGCCTCAATCCAAATTCCAATATCCCCCTTCTCACTGAACCCTTTGTCCACACGCTGCGCATTCCAAAACTGAAAGTCCTAAATCTTACAGCCAGGGCTCGATAAGACCGTGGTCAAAGTCACCTCGAGAGTCTTGAGAGGCTGAATTCAACCCCTAAATCCGGAGCCCTGAACCGCAAACCGTTACAAGGCTTCATATAGACAAATAGCATTGAGGCACGAGGGCCTTTGGGCTTAGTTGACCGGAGAAGGGCTGCAACAATATCTAACAAATCCACACCGTGAGGTGGGGAACAACCTCTGAAGCAACACGGGGTTTCGGGTTTGGGGCCTATACGGTTTCTACCGGTACGCCTTATAGGGCCTTCATGATTTAGGGTTGCCTAAACCCCAATTCCGAAACCCCCGAAGCAAAGCCTAAAGCCCCATTCTTCCAGGTAATCCATAAACACTTCTGAATCTAAACACTAACAGCAACCAGGCCTCTAGAGCCTTGAATCTTAAAACACAGGGTTCAGGGCTTGAACCTTAGGGCCTGGGCTTTAGGGCTTAGGGTGTAGGGCATCTAAGACTCTACATGCTGTTTCAGAGACCCAGGCTAGATGCCGTCTGGTACACGCCGGTCACGGAGTTGGGGCTGGCACCGCGCTGCACGGTGCCGTAGATGCGACATTAAGGATGCTCCCCTTTTTGGGGTCTTCGTGTTGTACGGTCTTTAAGTCTGTAGAAGGTTCAATGTTGAGGCTGAAGCTTCACCGGGATGAACTTATGGTTACATGGTGCGAGTCTCCGGACTACGAGGTTCCACTGGTTGGTTCTATAAGGCAAACTCCATACCCTACGCCCTAAGCTCTTGGACCTTCAAGCCCTGAATTAGTAACCCTAAACCCTTAAATCCCAAACCCAGCAATGCGGGCTCGTCCTTGCTAGGTAGGAGGGAAAAGAAACCCTAAACCCTTAAACCCTAATCCTGAAACCTTCAAGCCCGTAAGTCGTAACCCTGAACCCTTTACCCTGAACCCTTAAACCCTTAAGCCCTAAACCCCGAAGCCTTAACTCTAAACTCCTTAGCCCCAATCCCTAAACCCTTAAACCCAGACCCTGAAACACGATCTTGGGACTAGTATCGCTACAGACCTTGCAAGGCTTGTCCGAGGGTGAGTGTCAAAAACCCTGACCCCCCCCCAAGCACTACTACCACTGCTGCTACTACTACTACTACTACTACTACTACTACTACTACTACTCACTAAGACAGAAAGCCAGTGCCGGGAGAGCCGGAGCCGTGGCAGCCTGCAAACAGAGCCAACAAGAAATCTGGAAGCCTCATAATAAATCTTAAAGTCTACAGACTTTATCTGTTTACATACACAGAATAGTTTACATACACAGAATAGGATACACATATACATGAGCATACATCGTTTTTGGTTATGCATTATATATACACGCTTTGCAGATGTGTATATACTTATTTCTACACAGATAGATAGATTGCCAGATCGCTAGATAGATAGATAGATAGATAGATAGATAGATAGGTAGGTAGATAGATAGATAGATATGTCTACCCTAAAATTTAAAGCCTACAGTCCCTTTAGCTGAAGCCCCAGCCCCAGCACATCCCAAACCCCAAACCCTGTAGACCACTGCTTGAACGCTAGCCTCGACATTGTTCTGGGCCGGTAATAAACCGATGCAGAGCCTGGGACATGCCATTAAGGTCTAAATAGTGAAGAAAGCCCATTGGAGTTCCCAGAAGTGAAGTTATGCTACAATATCCCCCTGCCGAAAGAGTAACACTTGTTCAACTAGTTATAGCCGCTTGTCGCAAGGCCCTGTCAAGCCCTGACTGTAGAACACAGATGGACCTTTTTGAAGAGCCCTTAAAGAAACTCTATTCTAAATGTCAGGTCCGCCTGCATCATGAAGTTTATAGGGGTTGGCATCATAAAGGTACTGTACAGGTCTTAGGGTTCTCTAAGCCTCAACCCTAGACCCTAAAGCCTGAACCCAAACCGTTGGTTGAGGCCTTGACAAGGTTGTTCTTCATTATTTTAGCTTTGTACACCGAAGAAGATCAGGAAATAGGCCGATTGGCGTCACCGGTTGCCCCATGCAGGGCAGGGGCGCATCACGACACGATGTGTCGGGTACCAGGCAGAGGTGACATGCCAGATGGCACTGTAATATAGTGGCTTAAACAATTACCAAAATTATTTTGGTGGCTCCTTATCAAAATTCTACGATAATGGGCCCCAAAACCCTATTCTAACTAGTAAGGCCCCTATATTTCATGAGGCCCCACAAAGCCGCCCACGATGACAACTCCGTTCTGCCTTGGGGTTTGGCGGTTGAATCGGAGAGGGGTGTTTACTGTAGGGTTTGGGGTTTAGGTGTCTGTAGTTGGATAGTTTTTGAGTGCTTGAGGGGCAGATTGAGTCTTCTTCCGGATGTTAGGTTGAAGGACTTGGGGGTTTAGTGGTTTTCGGGCTTGTTGCTTCGTGTGATTCCCGCAAATGAGCCCCACAAGCGCTATGAAGGCGAATATGCCTCACAATTCCTAAGTACATGACCTGTAATCCCTGTGAGCCGGAAAGCCCTTTAAAACCTAAAAGCGCTTAAACCCTAGACGCCCTAAAATCACCCCTAAACCCGTAAAGCCTTATAGTCCTTGCGAGCCCCGAAAACCTAGAGTTGAGCCCGAGGTCACGAGTCTGGCGACGAAGGATGACACCAGCCTCAAGAGACAGACCTCCACTCCCCGAGAAGGCCCGGGCTGGCAGCGAGGGGCCCCTAAACCCTAAACCCTAAACCCTAAACCCCTAAACCCTAGACCCTAAACCCTAAACCCTAGGTTGAAGGATGCTTATAGCGTTCGGGTTGAGGGTGTATAGGGTGTAAGGGTTTGGGGTTCAGGGATGCTTATGGTGTCGGGTTTTCGGCTTAGGGCTTTGGGCTTAGGCTTGGGGTATATTTCAGCAGTTTGTGGTTGGGTCCAGGGCTTGGGTCCTAGGGTTGAGGGTTTGGGCTTAGGGTTTAGAGGAACTCGCTGGGTTCCTGGCATATGCATCGCCCAGGTGTAAAAGTGGGGCCGAGCTCCGTGTCTGAAGCATTTGCCCTGCCGGCGAACGTATTTTGACGGAAACATGTGTTCGTGAATATGTATATATATATATATGTATATATATATATATTACATACATACATACATACATACATACATACATACATACATACATACACCCTGTCTACCTATGGCTGCCCGCCTAAGTACACTTTCACATTCATGCAAACTCAGGGATCCGACGTGAGGAGACGCGGCATCAAGTCGTAGACTCCCGAAGCTGCCATCGTGCTTCGTAGTGCTGCTTGTTGTAGTAGAGTAGGTAGCCTTAGCCTCTTTGCACTACCTAAACCCTAAACCCTGAACCCTAAACCCTAGACCCTAAACCCTATACCCTGAACCCTGAACCCTACACCCTGAACCCTAAACCCTAAACCCTTTATAATCCCTCTATAATCCCAAGGGCTGGCCTTCAGTTCCCTTAAGTCTGACTGGACAAGTAGGTGTTGCTTCTGCCACCGCTTTCTACTACCCTAAACCCGACACCCTACTACCCTTAACAACCCATCCTTCCGGTTTTGTACTGCCTAAACCCTACTACCCTTAAACAGCCCGTTCTTCCGGTTTTGGATTCCCTAAACCCTACTACCCTTAAACAGCCCGTCCTTCCTGTTTTGGATTCCCTAAACCCTACTACCCTTAAACAGCCCGTCCTTCCTGTTTCGTACTAGCCCTAAACCCTAAACCTTAAACCCCAAACCCTTAACCCTAAACCCTAAACCCTAAACCCTAAACCAAAAACTCTAAACCCTAAAAACGTAAACCCTAAACCCTAAACCGGCTCTGGCTGAGTTGCAACACGGCCCCCGAGAGTTCAGGAACCTCGGGTTTCGGTGTCCGGTTGCTTCGGTTTTTTGGGGTTTTAGGGCTTTAGGCTTTAGGGCTTTAGGGTTTTAGGGCTTTGGGGCTTAAGGGTTTTGGGGTTTAGGTTTTAGGGCTTTAGGGCTTTAGGGCTTTGGGGTTTTAGGGCTTTGGGGCTTTGGGGCTTTAGGGTTTGGGTTTTATTGTTTTAGGGTTGAGGGTTTTAGGGTTCGGACGTAGAGGTCCACACTAACCTAGAAGAGCTTATGGTGGGAATCCCATCTCGAGCGAGACATGACTGCAAGAGATTGGTGCCCATGCTTTTAAGAGCCTAAGAGTATTTAATTTGGTCCGCGACGTATAACCCAGCTTCGGTGCGCGTATCTTGCAGCTTTTGAGTTATACTTATCCAGGGGGTGACAGGTGTGTTGTACGTATACCGCTAAGTTGAAAGTATGCTGGAAGCACAAACCCTAGGCCTAAGACTATAGACCCCAAGTAGCTACTATTTGTATACTTGGAGTCTTGGGGAAAGCACTTGCAAGCATGGGCTTTAGCTTTGCACAGCCTTCGGCAGGCATGCTCACGCGCTACGGCAAGCTCTCCAGGGCCGTTTTGGAGGCCCGGCGATTTTCCCGTGTTTCCTTCGCGGCCCCATGATATCCTCACAGCTTTTCTGCTGTAAATACGTACAGGTTGCAACAATTTCATTATGGTTTCACGCCCTTGTGTTCGGACTTGTTGGTTGCTGTGTTTCTTGCAGTTTGTTGAGATGAACCATGCAGAAACCGTGAAGCAATAAGCTGTCCTATCCCCAAGAGAAGATCACCTAAACCCCGCGACCCTGAAGCCTATGATTGACTCTAAGTCTAAAGCCCTAGAGCGAGACCTTTAGATTCAAGGCACTATAAAACCTTAAACAGGAACCCTTGAAGAAACCCTAAGCCCTAAACCCTAAACCCTGAACCCTAAACCCTGAACCCTGAACCCTAAACCCTAAACCCTAAGCCATAAACCCTCAAAGAAGATCCGCTGCAGGAGATCTTTCCTTCGCCCAGTGAGAACGTCGTGGTGGTGATTTGTGGGCCAAAAGGCTTTGTGGATGAGGCCTGGGTGGTTGGGTTTAGGGTTAAGTTATGGTT